AAACAAGAATAATGAATAATGCCGAGCTCAAATATAAAATTTTCAAACCGTGCTTAGCCAAACTTTTGTCCCGTCCTTACTAGCTATTTCTTACAATGTTGTCTAAACCTTACTTGGAGGAGGGGTGCTTATGATGCGAGTTGAGTTCGAGTTTGGGATAACTCAACTTGAGTCGTTAACATATCAAGTCGAGCTTAATCGAGTTGAGTTTTGACCGAGTCGAGTTTTGACCAAATTTGACCGAGTCGAACTTTGACAGAGCCAATTGCAAGTAGCTTACAATTTAATTTCGTCTTAGTACGTAGATCTCTCTATTTAGTGTAACATCTCTCCATTCTCTTTAATTTTGTCATTTAAGAAATATACATATGATGATACGAGTACATAAAAAATATTTTATTTATTAATTATTAATGTAAAAAAATTCATTTCAAAATATTTTAATTTTTAATGAATATAATATTATATAAAGAAATTCGAGCTTCTTACAAGCTTTCGAGTTTAGTAAGGAGCTAGGAGTTACTCGACTCAACTCATTAACATTTCGAATCAATCTCGAGTCCGAGTCAAGTTTTGACCTAGTTGAACTCGAGTAGCTCACGAGTTGTCTCGTCTCATAAGCACCTCTAACTTTGAGACTTGGGATGAAGAGAATATTACACAATATTTTGGAAAATATTCCCTTGATTCCCAAAAGTTCAACTTGCTTACCGGAAATTAACATGAAAAAAAAAATTAAGTAAGATAAATAAGCAAAAAAGATGGGCAGTATAAGAAATAATGTGGGCTAGGGTATTAAATTAGGGGTAAGATAGAAAAGGAGTTTTCCAAAAAAAAAAAAAAAAAAAAAAAAAGTAAAAGCGAGTCAAACTTTATGAAACGACTTAAAATTATACTATAGAACGTTTGAAAGCTGATAGAGCATCAACAATACATAAAATAAGGCAAAAAAAAAAAAAAAGTAGAAGCATAAAATAAAAACACCTCAAAATAGAAAATACACAAAGGAAAGGTTATCGAGTCACACAAAGGAAGGGGTATCAAGTGTGATAGAGTATATAAATTGAACCATCAACTTAAACTTTTGGTTACGTTAATCCTCTAATATGGTATTAAGAGCCAACATGACATAAATATACATTTCGAGTTAGGTATGAAGGAACTCATTTTATATCTATACTTCAATTTCTAAAAAAATCTTATGTGAAGGAGCGTGATAGATTATATAAATCAATTATGGGTTTCAACCAATATGTTTGCTCATAATAATACTGACCAACTTTTTTTTTTGGTGTTTAGAGAACCACAAGGACAGGTGATGAGAATCAATCCTAAGATTTCTTGAAATCGGAAGCGGAGCTTTAACCACTTGAGGTACCAATCAACTAACAAACTAATCTAGTTTACGTCAAACTATCCACATTCATAGTTTAGTAGAGAGTTGGTGGTAAGGATAATTAAAAGTCAAAATGTCTATATAAAGGCAATTTGCCAAAATGGTCCAAGGTATATCTATTAATAAAATTAATATTACTAAATAAAAGTACGTGTCACATTTAATCCATATTCGTTAGATCCATAACTGGTCCTGCTCATATTCAGTAAAGAGATACCAAACACATACGGTAACATACATCAGTAACATGGGTCATATTTAATGTGAATGAATAATAATGGTAGATGCTAACATAAACTAACTTAACGAGAGAATTATATTTTCATACTTTATATTATAACTAATTTAGTAATGTTTTGACTAAATATCTGTAGTTAGTATGTAATACTGAATCAGTAGTCAGCAAACCTTGCTCTCTAAGAATCACAGAAACCCACAATTACTGGCTAGCACATGTCAATGAGTTGTAGGCCTAATTTGGATTTTATTCTAATAGGTATATATGTAGCAAGCTACTATGCTTAACATATACACCAATCTTTAGCAAAATGTATGAAAACAACATTGTTAATTAATGTATCACGTCTTTAGATTAAAAATTACATAACCTAATTTATCTTGTCCTTCTTAACCATAAGATAGATATACTTCGTAACAGATATGTATCAGAGAAGAAAACAAATAGATCCTATTATCCGTGTGATTAGTTTCGTGAACGATACAATAATAATAAATTTTAGAAAGCTACAACATCAAATTCCTAGCATCCCGAACAATGGCGCCCATAGATCCAATCAACGAGTTAAGGGTGAATGTGGGTACTAAACTTTGCCAAAAGTTGCAAATAAGGGACTCATCTTTCACATATTGCAAAATGGGTACTCAACTTTGGTAGAGTACTTACCGGAGGGAATATTCCGATAAGTTTACTTCTATTAACAGGTTACTACCAGACCCACATAAATTCCCTTGAGTAGAATCATTGCATTGCCGAACGTTCTCGAATTCTCCTCAAAGCTTCACCCAAATCTCTCGACCCACAAACAAATGGGACCCCAAAATTGTGTTTGTTGATGAAATGATCTTCATCTGCAATCGATAAAAGCTCGTTTTCATCGATGTAATCGAATGCAATTGATTCAAGAATCTGGGCTTCGACAAAATGCCCGACCCGAGATTTAGCGATGACGGGAATCGAAACGGTGCGTTTAATCTCTTTGATGATTGATGGGTCTGCCATTCTTCCGATACCCTTTTGATCTCCGACGACAGCAATCGCCTGCACTTTCAGCGATTTTAGCTTGCCGAGGATCAGAGACTTCGACGATTGCGCCGCCACGTAGCATCTGGGTTAACCCGGATTTGATCGAAAAAAGGATTTGGGTTTTTGTTGATGCCGGTGGCCTGGTGACAATGGTTCCGTCGTAAAACACTACAACGCCGTTGTCCGCCATTGATGAGCTCTAAGTGTTTGATGAAATGCCTGTTAGAAAAAAAAAAAAAAAAAAACAGAGATTGCTGATGGTTGATGTGTTGATGTTGATGGGGTATAAGGGATTTTTCGAGATTTAATAAAAAAAATAGGGAAATTGAATATAGAGGAACACTGATTTGAAGTGCTTATTTTGCTACTTAATTGTACTATGACAATTATTGAAATCAGACTCAGACTTCAAGTAAACAAAAAAAGGAAAAAAAAAAATTTATGTAATTAAAGCTCTCTGTTACCGGCTACAACAGGTTAAACAGGTAGAGTACATAGTTTAGTACTCTAACTGCAACAACTGATACTTGAGTCCCTTATTTGCAACTTTTGGCAAAGTTTAGTACTCACATTCACCCTTAACTCTCCAATCAACTACTTGATTAGTTTTACGGAAAGCTATGACATCAAACTCCTAGTATCCTAAACAAAGGCGTCGATCTTCCAAGGTAAAAAAAAAGCCCGCAACTTAAATGTAATAGCTATATATATAAAGAGCAGCAAAAGGAAGATCATCAAGAAAGGCAATACAAACTTACAAATAAATTATCAAAGACTGATAAGAATGATAGCTTTGCACCTCATAAGCGATTATGTTATACACAAATTCAATGATAATTTGTTTTTAATACAACTTCCATTTCATATTATTTGCAACAATTTGACATAAAATAGAGAGAAAAATGTCTAATCGTTGTAAATAATATGAAACGGAAGTAGTGGTTTTTTATATATTCATTCAAATTCAGTTACTCCGTATAACTTATTTCCCTCTTTCATTTTTCATAATATTTCACCCCAACCCCACATAAAGGTACTCATATAGTCATATGCATATATTTAACTAAACTGCAAAGTCTTTAGACCCTATCTCCTTTCTTAATACATGAGTAAACAAAAAATGTAACTTAGAGAACGGAGGGAGTGCATATATAGAATATTCGTATCGTCTTTAAGACCTGTGAAGGTAAACGTACAAAGGTATATATATAAGTGCTAGATCATGCACACAGGCAGTTCACGCCCAAGTGTCCCAAACTTAAATTTTCTTCCATAAATGTCCTCCTATCTATCTGGTCAGGTTACCCCCAATTTTTTCTGTCAATCAAAAAATGCCCCTACACATGAAATTCAATCTGCATTTTATGCATATTATATAATCCCTGTAAAATATCAGACTACATAATAACAATAAAGAATTAGAGAAAGCATAAATAGTCCATCCTTATATGTAGAATCCTCTTTTGCAATTTCACCTGCATAAATATAATCCAATTCTTTACTGTGAATACTAGCTAAAAAATGGGTAAATCCAGAGTTTACGAAGATGTTCATAGTGTGTAACCCAGCTAGAATATAGCCTAATTAACTATTACATGAAAATTTAGGCTATTTGCAAGTAATTTAAATTTAAAAATGCAAAAAAACCAACAGTATCTAAGTCAGTTGCTTGCATATCTTAGAAGGGTATTTTAGATCATAACATTGACATTCTATAAACATATTGACAAGAACATAACAATCCAAGATAAGATCTCATCCTCAAGGAAACTATCATAGATAATTCTAGCAACTAGCATTGGTGATGGGAAAAAATCATATCAAATGCAGAAACCAACAGTTAAATATATCTGATAATCTTTGGTAAGATCCAGTTGCATCACACCTCTGTTTACACTTTTAACATTGTCAACACAACGAAAAAGTCCTCGACTTGTGATTCGGCCAGAGCTCCTAAAGAAAGGGCATAATTCAGCCTCGTGCTTCTTATCATGTTTTATGCCGTCATAAATGTAATGCACACATATAATACCAATCATAGGGGTATAAGCACGTAGCGCAAGGAGACTTAAAAGAGAGAGGGGGGGAGAGGAAGTATCCAGTAGGCTTCATCGTCATGCTAGGCTTTAAAGAGAGTATTTTAAAGAAACCGTTGACAGCTTTTTAAAACTCAAGTTATTCTTCTAATCTTTATTTAAATCAATCTCCAACTACTTCTTACAAGTAACAACTATTACTATCATACTGCTTTTCAGAAAATTCCGCAATAGCATAGAAAATGATTACTAATTATATATACTAGTATTATTTTCCTCCAACTAGTTTGCAAGTCATCTTCTCTACCTATTTAAGTAACTTGAGTTAGTAATGCTAAGATGCATGCATGCCAGCACTTTCTGCTGTTCTTTGTCTTTCAATAACACCTTCCTCTATTTCATTTTTACGATAACTTCTGATTAACTCTGTAATCCCGAACATTATCTCATATAATCCCATATTCACCCTTAATCATCCATACATTAATCTAACAATCAAATGTTTCCGCTTGTTGTAAGCCTCATAGCAATCGCCATCATAAGTTTGACACATTGGCTGTTCAGATGGTGGAATCCAAAATGCAATGGGACACTTCCGCCAGGTTCAATGGGCTGGCCACTTATCGGTGAAACTCTTCAGTTCTTTGCCCCAAATACTACCTTCGACATTTCTCCCTTTGTCAAACAACGGATGAAAAGGTAAATACTCCCTCTATCCCATAATGATTTTCACACTTTCTCGATGTAAATGGCTTAAATATTTTTTTTCACATCTCTTTTTCGTGCAAAAAAACACACATTGATTTCACATAATGCACTTTAAGGGCACATCTCACAGTTGATGTTTTTTTTTCCTCTTACCTATATGTATAATCAATGCCCCACTACCCCTTTTTAAATTCATCAACTTTGACATGTTGCTCCCTGCTCTTATTCAATATTTGTGTCAAACCCTGTTGTTGTAAGACACAATAAACAAGGGGCATGTTAATTTTTCAGTTCTGCTAATCTCTAATTCAACAGTGCATTTACTTTGGAATTTTCAGATTTGGGCCAGTATTCAAAACCAGTTTAGTTGGAAGACCGATTATAGTCTCAGCTGATCCAGAGCTTAGCCATATAATCTTTCAACAAGAAGGCCAAACATTTCAGAGCTGGTATCCAGACACATTTACAGAAATTTTTGGGAAAGAAAATGTCGGGTCCTTACACGGGTTCATGTACAAGTATCTTAAAAACATGGTATTAAGTCTTTTCGGTCCTGAAAGCCTAAAGAAGATGCTACCTGAAGTTGAAGATACAGTGCTTAGACAGCTAAATCAGTGGTCTGAACTGGATACAGTGGAGATTAAAGATGCAACAGCTAGCGTAAGCTATCTGAATTGCTATTGGTGGTCACAATATAATACGATACAACTTAGATTTCTAAGTACTGATTTTTATTCTACTTCCGTGCAGATGATTTTCAATCTCACAGCCAAAAAGCTAATCAGCCATGACGCGGAAAACTCTCCAGAAAATCTAAGGGAGAGTTTTGTTGCTTTCATTAAGGGACTAATCTCCTTCCCTTTAAACATTCCCGGTACAGCATACCACAAATGCTTACAGGTAAACATCAAAGACCCCTCAACTAAACAAGTCTTTATTGTGTCATAGAAAATTGTAGTGATGAAATACAAAACTTTTACACACTGAGCGTACAATAGCTTAGTTACTCCAAATCACATACGAGTAGAAGTTAACCTCACATAGTGGTGACTTTTATGTGATTTGGAGTGAGTTGGCCCTTTTTTTACAACTGCACCAGTTGTATACAAAACCTGTTGATTATAAATAATAACAGTTTTAAGTTTGAGCAATCGTTGTAACAAACCCCGGAACTTCCAATTCTTAAGATACTACTGTTGTGGCCACAGGGAAGAAATAAGGCAATGAAGATGCTGAAAAAAATGCTACAGGAGAGAAGAATGATGCCTAGAAAACAGAACACAGACTTTTTTGATTATGTCCTCATTGAACTGGCAAAGGAGGGAACACCACTAACAGAAGGAATTGCTTTGGACCTAATGTTTGTGCTTCTCTTTGCTAGCTTTGAGACAACCTCCCTGGCTCTAACTGTTGCCTTGAAATATCTCTCAGATTACCCTCTGGTCCTACAAACACTGACGGTAATATTCATCGAGTCGAAAACTGACTAAATTTTTCTGTTCCCTCCCAATTACATCTTCTATTTCGATGGAACCCAACTCACACAATGACAAATTGACAGGAAGAGCACGAAGCGATTCTAAAGAGGCGTGAAAATCCAGATTCTCACCTTAAATGGAGTGAATACAAGTCAATGACATTCACTTTTCAGGTTAGTTAAAAAAGCTTACCATCACAACAAGTTCACTGACAATCCATCCCAAAATAGAACTAACTAGTTTATAATGCAGTTTATCAATGAAACAGTTAGGATGGCAAATATAGTTCCAGGAATTTTCAGAAAAGCACTAAGAGATGTCAGCTACAAGGGTATGCATAATCTAAATCTTTATATCAATGTTTATGTTACTCGATCGAGTATACATACCTTAACATAGAATTTTATCAATGCAGGCTATACCATTCCAGCTGGTTGGGGTGTCATGGTCTGTCCTCCAGCTGTACACTTGAACCCTGCCAGATATGAAAATCCCCTTGACTTCAATCCGTGGAGATGGGAGGTATGCAGCATATACTTTCGTATTCCTGCCAATCATATGGGAAAAAAAATGATACTGTATAACTTTGGTTCTGTATACATACAAAATATAAACATGAAATTTAATTGTTTGTAGGGAGGAGAAATAAACGGTGCATCCAAACATTTCATGGCTTTCGGGGGAGGTATGAGATTTTGTGTCGGGACAGACTTTACCAAGGTGCAAATGGCAGTATTTCTACACTGCTTAGTTACAAAATACAGGTACAGGCTCCCACCATTTTAAATATTTAAATGAATATTATAAGAGAATAAAATATTTAACTTATATTCTTCAACAAATGGAATCTCAGGTGGAATCCAGTGAAAGGAGGGAACATCGTTCGGACCCCTGGCTTACAGTTTCCAGATGGCTTTCACATTCAGTTGGCTAAGAAACAGAATCTATCAAATGATTCTCCTTCATAAATATAGCATTACAAGTGATTTCAGGCCACGATAATAAGAGACCAATACTAACAAAAAAGGAATGGAGAACAAATATTTACAGTTTCTCCACCAAAAAAAGAGCAACCGTGAACAGTTTTCTTGTAATAGTTACAGTTTTTGTATACATTGTCTATTTTTTTACCCTTCATCTTTTCAACATCTGTGAAAGAACATATGTTTGAAAAAGAAGGGGTTTAGGTTTCCGATACTTATAAAAATCATTGTTAAAATTCATATCACCTTTCATGTTGCAAGTGTATAAAACATCTATAAAGACAATCACAAATTTTCCCAGTGTTATGACTGCCAATTATATCGATTGAATTACTAGATTACCTCATCTATAAAGCCGTTAAAGGAAACACCAAATCTTAAACAGATGGTTGAACCCCAAGATCGGTTCATACTTCATATACTCTATCAATTATCAAGGGAAATTGAAGTTGGTTCCTTAAAAAACCCTTATAACCATGTAGCCAATTATAGTGACATACATACATTGTATTACTTGTACTCGTAATACATAAGTTCGATGAGGAAGAGGTGACCATAAAAGACTAATTCAGCATTTAAAGTATTCGTTTGGTAGACAAAAATACATGGAAAGTTAGATTTTCTAGGAAGTAGATGCATCTACACATGTTTAGTTATCAAGTTCAAAGGAATTAAAACTTCATTACCTACAAAAAGGGCGAATTCACTAACCAAGTCTCCTAAGTACATGAATCTTAAAAATGAAATTCCCATAACAATTTTATAGAACTTTTTATATACACCCAATGCACCTAAGATAGGTGCAAGTGCAACCATGGGTGATATTTTTTTTTTTTTTGAAAACCGCAACCATGGGTGATATTTTTTCACATTTATTACAGTATTTTTTTTTCTCATTTTAAAATTTAAAATGAGCAATAAATATTAAATGAATAGAAAACATGTCCACCTTACAGTCGGATGTATATAAAAAATTTCACAGTTTTATGTGCATAGTAACGGAAGCAATACTTAGCACATCTAACCAAACAACCACAAAGAGCGGAGTATCAATTTTTTTTTTTTTTTTTTTTAAAAAAAAAAGAAAAGAAAAGAAAGAAAGTTATAAGGCTAAGTATAAGCATTTAATATCTTTACTTATTTAGTGTTGTATAAATTTAGGAATGCACAATAAAATCACGCCCAAATAAGTGTAAATGAGTTATTAATGTTACTGATATTTTCATTTGTTTTTCTAATTTTAGCTCCTTATATGCACCCCTAAAAGTTATGTATAGCATTTTTCATAAATTAATTAATTAACATGAATTAGTAATACTTTCTCGGTTACGAATTACTCACAACAAAGGGTATTATTTGTAAGATATAAAATATTCATTTGTTACGAGTAATATGTAACAGAGGGAGTAAAATGTTAACCCTACAATATAGAAATAAGAAATGCGTCCATCATGTCTAATCGAAATTTTAATAATTGCGGCATTCTACAATTGTTTATAACTCATAGATTTTAGCATTAAAATACTCCCGTACTCCATTCTTTTTTCTTCTAGAAGATTCAAATTAGATTAACAAAAAAAAAAAATTGAATAAGTAATTCACATAGATGGCATCAAATTTTTGTTAGAGCATATATATAATTGTTCTTTTTCTATGATATAAAGGATATTTCAGAGATGACAGCTATTGAGATCGATGAGGGAAGGCAGAGTCGCCGTTGTTATATCAGCCACCGCACCAACCGTCGACAGCTTTTCGATTAGAATTTTGGATCTCCCACTCCTCCTAAGTCCTAACCCACATTTGAGGCGAATATAGAAAAGTTGAAATAGTAGAAAAATGATTTTAAAAGTTACAAGATAAGTTACTTTTTGATGAGTAACTAATTAATGCTACCAGTACTAAGGAGCTGTTCACAATTACTAAAATAAACTGAATTGAACCGATTAGAGTTGAACTGAAATTAAGTGAATATTTTATAAGATAGGAGCTGAATTGAAATGAACTGATTGGAGTTGAACTAAACTGAAATAAATGTGATAGGGCAGTAATAGTAGTATAATTTAAGGGAAAATTTGTAAATAACTACCTAAAAAAAAATACTACCTCAAAAAGAGGGCATTTGTGAATTACTACCCTAAAAAAAAAATTAAAAAAAAAATAAGTTGTTGATTACTACCTTTAAAATTGATTAATTGTATCGATAACAACCTTTTTCTCTTTTCCGATTACTTAAGCTTACTAATTACATTATTTTCCAGTCAAATTATAATTAGTGACTTTTAATCCTAATTAATTAAATAAACCCCAAATTACTACCTATCCACCTCCACACCACCGTTGCTCCACTTCCGACAGCCCATTTACCCCGTTCCCACCACCAAAAATTCCCCCCTTCCCTAGCCCCACCGCCGAAAATCCACCCTTCTCGTAACACTTGAAAATCGTCTTATTCCCATCCATAACCCCCGATTGCTGCTCCCTTCTTTCCCCAAACCTTGAAATTAAACAGCCCCCCCTCCCTTGCATAGCCCCCGATAACAGTCGATTCCCCTTCCTCAGCCCCTATAATTTCCCTCCACCCTTTCCTTAGCCGCGAAAACCTCCCCCATCCCTAACCTCAAAACCTCATTTCCCCGCGTTCATGGTGTTCGGCGGTGAAGGGGGATGAACTCATGGTGTTCACCCGGGGAGGGAGGTGGGTTTATGGTGGCGTGGTCCACGATGAGGGAGGGGAGTCGCCGCTAGGAGAGGAGGGGGTTCAGTTTGTGGTAGGTGATGGCCGGATCAATTTTTATATTAGGATTAAAATGATTAAATTAGGATTAAGATGACAAATGACGTTATTAATGAGTTGATTAGCCGGAAAATCCACTTAGGTAGTAATCAGTACAATTTATCACAATTACGGGTAGTAATTTACAATTTTTTTAGGGGTAGTAATTCACAAATGCCCCCTTTTTAAAGTAGTAATTAACAATTTTTTCTAATTTAAGCTAAGTTCACTTCACCCTAAAAATAATAAAAATCAGTAAAAATTGATTTTAGTTTCGTGATAAGCCTAGTTCATTAAAAATAATTTGATTTCATTAAAATTGGTAACTTTAAAAAGAAATACATAATAGAGAGTCAATAAAAATAATTTCTTTGTTAGTAAAAATAAGGTGAACTGAACAAGGTTTTACATTGAGTATTATTTTGTCATAAATTTAAAAACTAACAGTAACTAAGATGTACATTATCTTTAATTGCAAGTTTGTAATATTATTTTTTTTAAGGTAAGTGAACATAGTTTTATACTAGTCGCTACAAGTTTAGATTATGTTATAAATGTGATGTGCATTCTCTTTAATTGCTAGTTTTCATATATAGCTAAGTCTTACCTGGTAATGTGGTTTGGCCTATGGGGGTAAGGTAAATTGAAATCAAGTTATGTTATCTCATATGAAATACAAGTATAAATTTCAATAATTAATGAAAAATAATAAAAATAGAAAGCTTAAGGCCCTGTTTTTTAAAATATAATAAAATTAAAAAAAAAAGTTGAAATTAATTTTATTAGTTGATTTGACAAGCTGATGTTTTTAGCTAATTTGATTGTTTGATTGTATAATGCAAATATGCAAGTAATAATCCTTGTACTACTACCCTTTATAGGCACCACTAATACCCATTAATGGGCTTATTGGGTAGACAATGTGAGCTTAAAACCCAAACTCAAAACCACAAAAAATAGTAAGTAGAAATCCAATTAAAGAAGTTTGGAGGCAAACCTCAACTTTCCAGAAGCAATCAACGGTAACGAATCAATCATATTCCTCTTCTATAAACCATTAAAATAAGAAGAAAAAAAATAATCCCACCACAATATTTAATTCAGTGTATCCCCCATCTATTTCATGTCTTACAAGTCCAATTTCTTACACTCTTGTCTTTTCAACTAACTTACGTGAATCAGCTAACCAAAATGACATAAATTTTGTGTATAAGCTACAACAAACTTGTAAAATTAAAACTTAACGAAGATAATTACTAATTGCATGTCTTTGTTATAGTGACTTTGAAACAGATAGAACAAAATTGTGTGGATTAGCTCTCTTTTTTGTGATTTTGGAAGTGAGTCACTACTAGTATCATATTGACTTTATGGATGAGCGCTGATAAAATGAAAAACAAACAAAAACACAAAAAAGATTTCAAAATTTTTAGTTTAGCCGTTCAAATCCAAACTATATACCCTCATTGTCATGGCCTCATATGCTCCTTAGATCATGAGATCATTATATTGCCCACCATAATTTAAGAGCATACATAACTGTTGAGCCCATGAGAAACCCACATGTGAGTGAAAATATTGTCCCACATTGAAAGAATATAAAAGTGAAGAGAAATATTGGGATGTGTATCCCACATTGAAGAAAAGAGAAAGTCGTGTCCACTTTATAAAGCTAAAGGGCTACTCCCCTCATTGTCATATGGTTTTGAGGTGGAACCTCCTTGGTCGTATAAAGTGGACAGTTGTGACGGCTATGGCCCAAACCCGTTTATCATGGTATCAGAGCCCAGGTTTGTTGGGTCATTTATAACTGGGCATTTGTCAAGCCACTGGTTAAAGGGCCTCTATTGAATGTTCATTCCCAAAGAGGATTTATATTGTACCTTTTGGTGTGCTCTAAGTTATAAGGACATCACAAGTGAGGGGGCTCCAAAGCCTTGTTTGTGAACCAAATTCTCCTCCTCCTTGTTCGGGTTGCCCAGGCCCATTTCATATTGTTTCGAAATTTATCAATAACACTTTTTCTCCATTATTTATATTTATATCGAAATTGATACACAAATTAGCTATATGATATGTGTAGTTCCTTAAATCATACCGACTTTATAGGGCTTAGCTTTATTAACATGAAATTTAGGGTAATCAAATGCTTAATCAGAATTATCATCTCACCAATGCTTAATTTGATGTTAACTTTTGATATGTTCCTCATAATTAGATGTGCTACTTTTAAAAGTTAATGTATATTTACTTACTTTTTTCCAAAACAGTCATGTTTAGTGTGAATTCCCACCAAACTTATTTATTACATGAGTTTTATTAAAATTTGAGGCAGCTCTAATTTAAGGAGTTATCTAGGGTTTATATAAGATAATCCGTAATCTGGTCTGAATTTAATTAGGTTTAATCTTAAGTTTTTTTATCTAGCCTGATTTGGTGTATTAATCTGACTAGATTTTTAGTTCTTTACACTAATTTTATAAGAAAAAAACATTATCATCTCATCAGCATGTGCTTTTCAAATGTCTTATTTTCATAATTTTTTTAATACACAATTAAAAATATATTAAGCAATAAGTAAATGAGAATTTGTCAAAAAAAAAAAAGTATTACCTCTGTTTCGTAATAATTGTAATATTTTTTTATTATGTGCAACAAAGGGGTATTATTTGTAGGACATAAAATATTCCTTTGTTGCACATAATAAGAAATAGAGGTAGTAATTTTTATTTGCTACCTACCCCACTTACACTACTCATTGTTTTACTGTAATATTTTTTTTTTGTGCTACTGACATTTAAATATATCGCCCCCACTAAATATATCAAAACTTTGGACGGAAAATACCATTCTCTTTATTTTTAAGGAGCCTAACTTGCTAGTCCAGGCTAGCCAATCGGGATTTCGACCCATTAGGATTCTTCTCCTTAATTACAAAATAAAAATGGATAATAATTACTACCTTTAGTAGAGAAAACAAATGTCTAATCGTTATGAAACAGAGGTCGTATAACACACGTCATCCTGTGAATTACCTTTCCAATGCCGGTTTGGACATTACGTGGAGAGCGACTAAGCGGTGCGCCCTCAAACCGTCATACACCCTCCAATCCACTCTATAATATGATACTCACATTTTTGTTGGGCAACGTACTCATACTTAATTGTAGCTAACCAGCCAAATAAAACTTTCACCCCACATATAAAACCATTCAAATAAAAAACTATATATTATACATGATTATTCATCAATCCCCACGTAATACAAAGTTGCTTAAATAACAACAACAATCGATACTCTAGAAAACCCATTTGCATCAATGAAGACCATCTCTGATAATACTAACGGAAGAGGGAGAGAGGGCAAGAAGAAGAGGTCCGAGGCGAACGAGCCAGCAGACGCGCCGGGTTGGTGTCGGGTTATCGTAAAGAGGTTGTCGAAACTCGAAGTGAATCAAGCGAGATTGAAGGATCAATTTTACGAGTTAGCTCAAGAGTTGAGGTATTCTTCGTCAAAAAAGAAGAAGAATGATTTAAGAAGAGAGGATCGAGCGGAGTGGATTTGGGGTCCTACGTTTACCGGGAACTTTGATAATGCTTATGGTCGTGTGTTACAGTCGTTGGGTCATGCTTTACTTGTTAGCTCTATTTCGTCCGGGAATATCATTTTCTGGTTAGTACGTATTATTTACAAACTCTACTTTGATTTTCGCTGTTTATAATATAGCATTTGTTTGGTCCGTTTTGTTGGGGTAGCTAGGGGTAATTAGGGGTTTAACGGTTTGATTAATTTTTAAAACGGGTTAATGATTATGAAAGTACGAATTAATTATTACGTCTAAAGTCAAATTAGTGTACAAAATTTGATATCGTAATAAAGAGAAAATGATATTTGAGCAAATATGAGTATGAGGGAATAAGAGGTGGGAGGATTACCAAGTCCAATTTATGCCTTAGGTCCAATTTCTTTTTGGATATTATTGTAAATTAAAGTCGGTATTGGATAATGTTTTATGGCTATATATAGATTCTATTCACACACATCATATCAAAGGAAACATTATTTCGTAAAGTAAGTAATACTCCTAGTTCTATATATATACTACCTCCGTTTCGCATTATCTGCAACAATTTTTATTTAGGGAAGCTTCATATTATGTGCAACAAAAAAAAAAGTTTCCTCTTTTAGTAAAATTGTTTGTGTTAAATTACCACCATACCCTTACTAAACTACACTTAACATTAATAAACAACATATTAATTCTTTAACCCAAATTAATTTATCCATAATTAAAACCCTAACCCACATTCTCTCTCCTCCCTCACAACCATATCCACCACCACCATCACCATTTTTTCTCTCTCCTCCCTGTAAACCACCACCAGCACCAACCTTCATCTCTCTTCACTCTCTTCTCGCACAACCAACGCACCACCACCACCACCCAGATCCACCACACCACCGACCATTCCACCGCACCACCACCTACCACAACATCTCTTCTCTCTGTTCTCTCTCTTCTATCTTCTCTATTATCCACCGCACCACCGAATATTTTACCTCGCAAGTTCGCCGCCGGCGGCTCTTTTCCCCTTATCAAAGTCGTCGCCGCCGCCTCTTTTCCCCTTTTCAAAATCGAAATTGGATGGTGGTAAGTTGTGGTTTCAGATCTAAATTAGTAGTGGTCGAGTTGGTTGGTTTGGTGGGTTCATTGGCTGGTCGGGTTTGTTAGGTTGTGGTGCGAGTTGATTGGTGGCTGGTCAGGTTGGTTGGGTGGTTTTGTTGGGTTGTGGTGCGACGATGCGAGTTGATTGGTGGCTAGTCGGGACGTCGGGTTGGTTGGGTGGATTTTGGGTGGTGGTGCGATTGGTTGGGTGGGTTTTTGGGTGGTGGTGCAAGCTAATTGGTGGTGGCGTGAGTTGGTCGGGTGGGTTTTGGGTGGTGGTGTTTCAGATCTTAGTGGTGGTGAGAGGGTGAGTTACAAGGTGGTGTTTACTCTCTCTCATCCAATTAATCACATGTTCTTTTTTTTACTAATTTTTGCTTAAGAAATTTTGTCTTGGGGAATGTGAAAGGGAGTTTGTTCAGATAATGCGAAACGGAGGTAGTATATACTATTGAAAGCAAGGGCAATGCTTGTAGAATATGCTGAATAAGTTATGAAAACCTAGTATTTTTGTTGGAAGTTGAAAATAGGAACCTTGGCGTGCAGCAAAAAGGTGAAAATTGTTAAAGTATTCTGTAGTTGTATACTTCATACTCCCGGCCTAAATGGTAATCCTAACCCGATCTGATAACATAATCCAAACCCGATCCGAATCGAATCCGAATAATTCAAATTCGACCCGATATGAACCAAATTTCATATTTTATAATAATACGGAGTATTAAATTTTACATAACTTTTGATAGTTTTTAAACATAACTCAAAATTGACCGAAATCTAACCCGAACTCGACTTGCTGACCCGAATTATCACCCCTAATCGTGATATTCTTATATACAATTTGTAAAGACATATTTAATCTCCTTCGTTCCTCGATGATTGTCCTATTTATTTTAGATGTCTATTTCATTATATATATATATATATATATATATATATATATATATATATTGACAATGTGTATAATTTTATTCAATTCTTAATACAGCAAATTATATTACGAGACATCTTTTTTAGAGGCGGATGATGTGTATGACAACACAAATCCAATACTCTAGTAGTCTAGTGTACTACGTATATTTTTTGTCGGTTTGGTTGAGAATTTGAGACAAGTAAACTTTTATAATTTGTACTCCGTAGTATCTCACCATCTATTTCTAATAATATAAGTAAAATTTTATAATAAAAATGAATAATATATTATCCTTTGAATTTTACTTTTTCTTTGTTTTTAAAAAATAATATATAATTATGGAAACATAATTTAATAAATTGAGAGAACGAGGACTATGTCATAAAAATAACAGTTTTTTGGTTCAAAAGGCAATGGTAGTTGAAAGTTGTCCAACAATGTATGTTGTATGACTGTATGAGACAATGTTGGGTGTGATTTTCCAAATAAAAATACCTTAAAAATGTACTCTCTCATTTCCCTTATTTTTGCCCCATAGATACATATTCACTTTATTAGTTTTTGGTTGTATGAATTTGACGGGGGAGAATAATAGGGAGAATAATAGTGGATCGTTCAAGCCAAAATATTGTGTGTGAGAGAAAAATAGTGGTCACTATAGCTATTTATGGTATGGAATAAAAACTAAAAATACGAGACATCCCATATAGAAAAGTGGAGTTGAAATTAAAGGACGGAGGAAGTATTAAGAATTGAATAGTTTTAGCGTTGAATGGTACAACACACTAATCAAGCTAAAACAAACAAAAGCCTTCAAGATAATTTCCCAAAATTTTAATAAAATTCTAAACTCACACATCAAACACAATTCACGTAACACTACAATATGATCTTTAAAGTAACAACGTGAGACATTTTCACATCTTTTGACTAAATCATACTATAATAAAATTAAAGTTTAACAACACTGTTCCTAAAAATTTATGGGCTCCTTACATAACAAATTTTTTTTTACACGCAATAGTTTTAAATATACTACTCCGTACAATCAAAATAGCTTATATTATTTGAATAGTAAGTCTCTATACTCAATACTTGAGTGATAACTTTGAATAATATTTCGGTAATTGAATAAATATGAAATGGTGTAAGTGAAAAGATTAATATTTTGGAGCAAATACTCATAGAAACCGGAAAATTAGAAGGAGTGAAGAGGTTATATTACATTGTTATCTCCACCTAATTAACATCTAAGTAATTTAATGTTAATTGCTAACTAAATGCAGTAATTATCTTTTTAAAAAGTAGTTTTTTTTTACGAGTAAAATTCTACTGTTTTTTTAAAAAAAAAAATTTAGGCCCCTTTTTGACGTGAGCCCTAAGCAGTCGCACTCAGGCCTATCCTTCCAGGCCAGCACAGGAGTTTAATCCATAGCATGAAAAGTGAATTATTAAAAATACTCCATACAAACTATATCTCTCCCGGCTCCCCTATTAATAAGAGAGAGATCACATGTAATTATGGGAGCCTTTGGTATTCTCGCACAATCTTTATTGGGTAAATACAAGTAAAGAAGAACAAATTAATCTTAATCACAAAATTAAGTTTTAAAATGAAAAAGGTGAGGTGAAAAAGTCTTGACTCTTCAAGACCAAGAAAAGGTGTCTTGATAAGTGAATAAAATAGTAAGAGTAGTAGGGCACAAAAGCGTTTAGTTAGGAGTAGTAAGATTCAAATTAAATAAAAGGAAAAAAAAGTGAATGATGCATTTTAATTAAGGGCCGGCAACCGTGTACTTTAGGGGACACCGAAGTTGATATGTGAGTAGCCTCACAGCCACTTATGGTTGGTGTTTGTTTGATAACTTAAGCTTGAGAGCTGGATTCCAATCTCGTACTCCGTGGGTGTTGTGACTTGTATTTGGCCCGCAATTACTATGCTCAAATGACCCTAATCTAATCTACTCCATTCGTTTCTTTTTGTTCATTTGGTTTTAAATACTCCGTACTCATGAAATCAATTAGGGCATGATGATGCGGTGACGCCATGATGCCCCATAACTAGTCATGTTCGGAGACCAATTTGAATTTGGTCTTATGTTACATATTTAGGACTTGTTCTCTTCAGAATATTTTCATTTCAGTTCAACTCCAATAAGTTCAATTTAATTCAGTTCTTAATTTTCTTCTCTCATAAAATATTCAGTTCAGCTCAGTTCCAATAAGTTTAGTTTATTTCAGCAGTCAATCTGAACCAAGCCCTTAGTTGTTGGCAAGATTAATAATGAAGAATATTAAAACAAATATTTTTATGGATATAAATGTCTACCCACATTCTTAATAGACAATTAACAATAAAGAGGGTAAATAAGTAAATAAACATATAAAAGAATATAATTGTTCAAACACTATTAATAAGAGTTATTTAAAAAATTTTAAAGTTAGAGATTGTGATACTACCGTCAAGAAAACCGAATTTTCTCCGTGTAGACAACGCAATACGCACGACATGAGCCCAATCATGGAAATTATCAAGCTTTAGGCGTTGAGAGGTGATGTAATCCCCGGGCTGATCTTGCGGACCAAGGTAGAAAGGTGAATTGAGTTCTATTTTTGGAGGCAAAGGTGGTGGTGTCTCATCACCGGCGGCCATTGTGGGAAAAAAAAAATCAAACCTGCTCTGATACCATGTAGAATTGTCTAAACTCACGGCTTAACTTTCATTAATCGGGGCAAAACATATATATACAACTCATATTCCTAGTGTTACCTTAATTAGGTTACTAGAAATAAGGAAACAATATAAAAGATAGAAACAAATATATCTACCCAAAATATATCCTCAATAGAGATTCATGTGGCTTCTTTTTTTTTTTTTTTTTTTTTTTTTTTTAATAAATATGTGAGAAAAATATTGAACATATGCATAAACTACAAAGCCTAAAACATGATTAACAAAAAGAAACTAAGAGAATATTTTTTGAAAGGCAAACTAAGAGAATATTAGATCATGTCAATTTCTTCTTTTGTTGAAGATCTTAATGGTAGCTTTATATACTCGATTTTTTTGTCAATATGAATATAATTAAATGTCTAAATTAATAAAGTTACATTAATTGAATATAAAAAGATTTCATGTAGAGAAATGAATTAATGATGACACCCAAAAAGACTTTCACTAAAGTTGTATTTATACCTCTTACATAATATCTACTTTAGAAGTAGAACAAAAAACTCTCATTGTAATTTTTTTTTGGTAAGGAGAAAGATCTTGACCAAACTTCTACCCTCACGATTTTTTTAGCCCGATATTTATGCGTCAGACACTTTGAGAATGAAGGATCCCCACTCTTAAAGTACTTCAAATGGAGATTGAACCTTCAACGTCAAAGTTAAAAGGTATTCCATATAATCTTTCTCACTAGACAACAAAGTCCTATAAAAGTTAAAAGTAGAAATACAATAATAATATTCCCAAACTTGCTGCCTTTAAGGTTAAATCTACTCCATATGAATCCATCCGGCCATCCCCATCCCAATTGCTTGTTTGCTTTTAGGTATTGCATGCCACACGTCAATCTCTAATTGGCTCCCTACTCAAAAAATTTATTTTAGTACAACTTGATGTACTTGTAAAATTTAACAACATTAAATTTGTACGTCTCACTTAATTTTCTCAACTCATCCAACAAGCAATTTGATTCATTAAACACAATTATTAATAAAAATAAAATTATTTATTCATAAAAAAAATAAGTCCCCATTTTTTTGCAACTTGCATAGAAGAGAGAGAAACAAAAAAAGAAAGGTCATTATGCCCAGAAATTTCCCTGCATTTTCACAACCACCATCACCGGTTAAAAATATTCCGGCGAAGAGAGAGAAAATATGGGCTCCGACGAGTCAAATCCGGCTTTACTCCGAATTCTTGTCAACAAATGTGCCGAGTTAGAAGCATGTCAATCCAATCTCAGATCAAAGCTTCACCAAGTCGTTAAACACGATACCAATAGCTATTCAAATATTAAGACTGATAATATTCCGGGGAGTAAACACGGTGTGACGTCATTTTCCGGTGGGATGACGTTTCCTGGTAACTTCAGGGATAGTAATCCGTATAATCACGTGCTTCAGTCGATTAATCATGCTGTTCACGTGACTTCGCCTACTTCAGGGGAGATCGTTTTCTGGTATTTTCATTGACTTTTTTTTTTTTTTTTTTTTTGTTTTTGTTTTTTTTTTAAGGTTTAATTTGTTTTATGGTTTGGATAATGGTAATATAACAGTAGGATTGGAGTGTGAATGTTTGAATTGTTTTTGGTGTTTCTAAATTTGGGTATTGTTTGAAATTAGGTAATTTCTATATATAGAGTATTATATTAGTGATTTGTTGTTTCTATTTTTGTGTTGTATTCTTGTAATAGTATGTTGAAATGATATTATAAAGGATTAATTTCAGATTTTCAGGGCTACAAATAAATTTATATTGTAGTCAACGACTTTGATGTTGTATTTGAGTGTTTCAGCTTGGCAATGACTATACATCTTTGGTGTAGCTGATTAATGTTATGCTTCTATTGGTGTCGAAAACTAACTAAGATCGATTTTTCGAGTTTTCCGATTGTACTATCACTGAGATATGATTTTAGAACACAAGGATGAGGATTGCTAGTTACTAATTGAAGGAAGTACTGTATTAGATTTGAGATTTGACATAGTATATGATTTTATAACATAAGGATTTGGACAATTTTTTTGATGTTAAGGAGTATTAGTTACTAGTTGAAGGAACAATTTTTATGAATTTGTGTCATATAGACCTGCAATAATGTGTAACAGGAACCGTGCTGCAGAGAAGCTTTATGGATGGAAGGACTATGAAGCAACAGGGAGACGTTATTCGGAGCTTATTATAGAAGTAGAGTATGTTCCATACATTGAGAAAATCAGGGAAAAGTTGCGCTTTGGCCATTCATGGTCAGGTCAGTTCCCTTTTAAGAAGAGGTCCGGTGAAGTTTTTATGGCGCTAGTGACTGAGAGCCCGTTATATGAGGATGGGGAGCTTGTTGGTGTTGTTACTGTTTCAAGTGATGCAGCTGTTTTTAATAGCATTAGATCAAACCAGCCTACTGTACCACGGGGTAACGTGAAAAAGATTCAGTGGCAACAAAGACCACAGATTGCATCAGTGCCACAGATGGCTTCTTCTATCACGGATCTGGTGCTTATATGTTACTACAACATACCCCTTTTCTTCATTCCTTGTTTTCTCTTGTTCCAGTTGCTGAAAGAGTGATGATGTGACTAATTAGGCCTCGAAGGTCCTTGGGCGTATGCGTGGAGATGACACTTCCAGAGAAGGAGAGGGATTTGTTTCGGAAGCTGAAGATATTAATCTAGATAAGAAGGAAGCTGATGTATGTGTACTTATCTTGTCAATATCCGACGTGTATAATGATGATGCTGATATGTATATTTACATTTTGTGCTAAGCTTTTAGGGGTGATTCTTGCTTGCAGATAGCTAAGAATACAGACGAAGGTAAAAGCTCTCATGAAGAGGAATCTGTGATGGCTCAACCTGCAAAAATGGTACAACACTGCCCCCTCCCCCCCCCCCCCCTTTTTATACTTATTTTAGGCGTTAGAGTATTAGTCTGATAGTGTTTTGCCAACATATTGGCGTTACAACTTTAGAAACTTATTCCTGGTTCATGTGTGGATAATTTCAGTGTATGTGGAAATGTCGGCTACATCACTTCTACAAGTCTAATCAATTATGCAAGCATTACAAATATCTAGGGGGTGCACACTGCACAGTCTGAACCCTTGTGTTTATGATTGTGCACAGCACCCTTGGTCTTTATTTTTCAATAAGCCATTACTTATGCTTTGACTGTAACCTCTGTTATGTTCGGCTTTGATAAAAGTTCTTTGTGGTATCAAAACCATATGTTCTTTATTTCCTAATAAGTTTCCTAAGTGATGATATTTTTTTCAGGGGAGTAGTGTTACAGCTTGAGTAAGCTGTTTGGTTTAATTTGACTTGTAGCAATGATATGGGTAATATAATGGATTTTGTGTGTTGTGTTTAAATGGGCTTACATTTTCTACAAGTCAAATTAATCTTAACTGCAAGTTAGTATTTCATCAGGATACTATAAGTCTTCTAATTAGTAGCCTATGCTGAATTGATGCAGGCAGCTAAACTTTTGGCGAGATTCAGAAAGAACAGTGGCAACAATGCTGAAACAAGTGATAAAATCCCTGTACCAAACAGCCTATTGAAAAAAACTGATGATGAATCATGTTCTACCAAAGGCTCAAAATATATTACGTCAGATAATTCTACTTATGATGTCAGACTTTTCCCTTTTCCTGGTAATGGACATGTGAATGAAAATATGAAGTTCTATGATGGGGAAAGGGCTACTTCACTTTGAGTATGCCATGAATATTCTAAATAGCCTAATCAACCAACTTTGTTGTGCCAACATTAGGTTTGCATGATAAAGATGCCGACCCTCAATTGGAAAAGCCTAAAGCTACAGAAGTAGAAGATGCTGCTTCACGTCAAGCAGGAGCCAAAAGTTCTTCAGGCTCAGGGGATAACATGTCTGGAAGTCCTGGTAGCTCTTCAAGCAAAGGTGACAGTGAGTCAAGTCGTTCAATGGTTGATTCTGATATTCTATGGGAGGACCTTCAGTTGGGTGAGGAGATTGGTCAAGGTAACTAGATGTCTAGATCATACGGAGTATTATTTATTTCCACATCTCATCCGTTTGTTTTGATGGTAGAGTAGTTGTTTAAAATCTTTCACTGAAGTGTCATCATTTATAGACCTTTGTGTAATTTTATTAGTAATCACTTCCGGCTCCATTGTACAGGCTCATATGCTGTTGTATATCACGGACTTTGGAATGGATCGGTAAGTTTAATTTAGAAATTAGAATGTCAAACTAATGTGTAGTGTAAAAAATAAGGGTACTTCCAGTATAAAAACTGATTTTTCTTACACAAGTCATGCAGGATGTTGCTATCAAAGTTTTCTTTGGGAAAGATTACAATGAAGGGACTCTACTAGATTACAAAAAAGAGGTGAGGGTGTTTGTATTTCAATTACTCCTGAATCATTAGTTGAACCTCGAAATGAGCTCACATGCAATATCCTATTGTATGACACTGCAGATTAGTATAATGAGAAAATTGAGGCATCCAAATGTCTTGCTCTTCATGGGAGCATGTTATTCACAGGAACGACTTGCTATTGTAACCGAGTTTCTTCCAAGGTAATACTGAAATGTTAAAGCATGCAGATATTTTTTGGACCTTTCTTTCCTGTCTATTTAAGATACAGCTTTGTAATCGATTAAAGCAATGATATTGCCTGGGTGAGAGAATGTTGAAATGTGTAAAATGTTAATACAAGTTTTTTAATTTTGAGTTGTAACTCCCATGATATTACTTTCAAAATAATTTTTTTACTTAAATGATGCAAGAAATGTGTTACTTATATTCAAATTTGTTTATATTATAGGGGAAGTCTTTTTAAGATACTTCACAGGAGCAATCAGGTTTTGGATCTCAAGCGGCGTTTGAGAATGGCCCTTGATGTCGTATGAATCTCCTCAGATTAAACATTAGATTTTTGTTGCTCCACATTAGATTTTTGTTGCTCTTTCTTGTTTTGCTGCTTGAAAAGTATGGCTCAAACACTTTATATGGCTGCAGGCTAGGGGCATGAATTATTTGCATCGCAGAAATCCTCCTATAGTTCATCGGGACTTGAAGTCTTCAAACTTGCTGGTTGACAAGAACTGGAACGTGAAGGTATCTATTGAGCATCAAAGCAACTTATCTCTTCTTCCTTCCATTGTAGTGTAGCATTTAAGTGTCAACGTCACTCACGCTAAAGCTCTTGTTTTAGGTTGGTGACTTTGGGCTATCGAAATTGAAGCACGCAACCTTCCTAACAGCGAAGTCTGGAGGAGGAACTGTAAGATATTCGTCAAGTCAAAGTTCAGCTCTATGTCCAGTTGTCCACTATGAACACTGACTGTATAATAGGATTTGGTGGTTTTATTTAGTTTAATTATTTCTGTGTATGGTTAGCTCACTGTCTTATTTGTTTGTATACTGATTCGCCTATAATTGTCATGCAGCCTCAGTGGATGGCGCCAGAAATACTCCGGAATGACCCCTCTGATGAAAAGTAAATTCTTGATTACTGAAAACTCTTGTTTTTGTTCATTATGGATACGCTTGTTGAAATGCACTACCATAAGTCCTTCATGCCATTTAACAACTCACCATATATAATTACTTCCTTAAATCACAGAAATTATATTTACATGATTTAGCTACCCTTTTTGAGTTGTTCCCAGGGATGGTCTAACTTTAGACACAGTCTCCAGCAATCCATTGTAAACTTTTCCAGTATGCTACACTCACATAAAACGAGTCTCCTTCAAATCCTTAACCTTCTGCCTCCCTCTCCAATTTAGGTCCCTTATTTGGGTGTTGTTTTATAACTTTGATCTTTTTGTGATTTGGAAAAAGATAATTTTGATGTCTTGTAGATAGTGCAACAAAAAAATACTGTGGTTTTTCTCTACCCTTGTTAAATTCTGGCCAAACACGTATCTGTATCTCTCTATATTCTATACTGAAGTTTTTCTTCATGCTTACTTTTGACAGGTCCGATGTGTTCAGTTTTGGTGTCATCCTATGGGAACTGGTAACTGTGAAAATCCCTTGGGATAGTCTAAATGCTTTGCAGGTTCTTGCTCTCTTCTTTCATTCCATATGCTTCTGTCTAGAAGAAGCTATATATACGCAGATCATTATAAAAAACCTTAAACTATTATTTTGTTGACCATCTGTTTTCATTTGGAAAGGTTGTTGGTGTAGTAGGATTCATGGATAGAAGGTTAGACTTACCGGAAGGCCTTGATCCTCACATTGCATCCATCATAAAGGAATGCTGGCTAAGGTAAATCTTTGTACTCTTTTCAGGTGTTTTGCTTTATTGATTAAGACACTATTAAGACACAAATTTCAGATCAAATCATTCTTGATCCATTAATTAAGTTCTAATTTTTTTAAAAAAAGTATAAATTATGATTTATAACTGTCTACGACAAACTCCATTGCATCCATCATAAAGGAATGCTGGCTAAGGTAAATCTTTTTACTCTTTTCAGGTGTTTTGCTTTATTGATTAAGACACTATTAAGACACAAATTTCAGATCAAATCATTCTTGATCCATTAATTAAGTTCTAATTATTAAAAAAAAAGTATAAATTATGATTTATAACTGTCTACGACAAACTCTAGTAGATCACAATAAATCAGTTGTTTTTGATAAAATCTCAGTTTATCTGTATTAGTTGGTATTATTATTAACATCTGTGCAAGATTGCAAGTAGCAAAAGACAATATTATGCAATGCTAGTGCTATTATTACGCAATAATCAATGAGCAGCAAGCCAGAACTGCGTCCTTCATTCGAAAACATCATACAGAAAATGACCAGAATAGTTCAAATTACTCCGTCTTCAGCAACCACTCCTGTTCGAAAAAGTTTATCATTACCACCATAGAATTACACACATCACAATGCAAGAGCAATACAACAACGGAGTTCAGGACTGTACTTGTCTACTGCATCGAAATCTGCCATAGTGTGTATATCTTGTTTATGGCTGTTGTTGAGCTACAATTTGGTTGATGGGAGTGGTAATGTATGTAGTGGTAAATTGTGCTTAAGATACCACATTACTGCTGTAAGTTACTTTTGCAAATACTGTAAACCACTCGCTACCAACTAAATGTGCCATATATAGCAGAAATAGTCCTAGGTTTGGCGGGCGTTTGTTGAGAAGGTTATAGCAGATTTCTTAGGGGATTATAATTTCTGTTGCTCCCCTTCTTTTTCCTCAATTTTTTGATGATTTTTTTTGGGGACTATGGTTTCTAGTCCTTGTTACAATGTATAATTAGTTGATTGTTTGGTTAAATTATTAACCCTTATAATCATTGATTAGGAAGCATTTCTTCTTGTTTTTCTTTCTTGTCATTCCTTGTAGAAGCGATTTTTTTTACTCGTAACTATTTCAGTCCATTGTGGATGTATGCATAGGCCGGGGAGCAATTGTATGTTATGCCCCATTGTCGCGGGATCGATCCAAAAATAAGCTAAAAAATCTTTTTGAGCAGGCAGTTTATGTTAAACAGCTGCTCAAACAACTTTTATGAAGCATTGTTAAACATCACAATTAATTGTCAAACAAGTCATTAGCCGAGGATAGCTTCTTAAAATTTCCTCTTGCTTACTTATGGAATAGCTAACACATTAGTAGTGAATCATGTAACTTTGTGTATGTGTTTTCATTTATTCTTAGTTAATCTTACTTGTGCTGGTCTAATCATTCCTTTTTCATGCCATTGCTTTCATAGTTTTCCATGATAAATATTAGTGTGATTAATTGATGAATTAGAAAATGTATTATTAATCCAATATGTCCCTTCTCATCATTAGAAATTGTGAGTATTAAATACAAAAAGAGGAGGATAAACTAAAAAAAAATAAATAAATAAATTATAGAAACACAAGGTCAAACGTCGGCAGGACGGCAGGTAGATGGATTTTATAGTTGAAATTGTAAGGGTGGGTGAAGTTAGGAGGATCAAGGGTGCTAACATTGCTAAGTGTAAGTATGATTGTTACACATTTGTCTCATATTTTGAAGATTCTAGTCTCTTTATTATGAATATCTTTCAAAGTAATATTTTATGTAGGCACAAGCTAATAAATGCTTTGAGGCGTTGATAAGATAACGAAAAAAAATTAAAATAAAACAAACATTAATTATACTGATAGGCAGTAGTTTTGTCACACACTCTCAAATTATAAGCTTAAGAAATATTTTAAATTATTATCTAACATCTCGAGAGCAGCGTTAGCAAGATGCTTTAATGTTATGCATAGAAAGTCAGCAATAGTAATACTCGTAGTATGCATTTTGCATAACAACTTTTTGATGCAACAGGTCACACCGGGTGATAAGGATTGGGATTACCCGAGTTATTTTGTTAGGAGTAACCCGAGTTATTCATTCAGGGTTACTCGATTAGGGGTTACTTGAGGGGTTCGGACAAGAGTTACTCGAGGGGTTCACTCGGTCAAGGGTTACTAGGTCAGGGGTTACTCGGGTTACTCGGTCAGGGGTTGCTAGGGTTACTCGATCATAAGCTACTCGGCCAGGGGTTACCCGAGTTACTTAGCCAGGGGTTATTTAAGGAGTTCAGTTAAGGTTACTCGAGTAATTCAGTCAGGGGTTACTTGGTCAAGGTTACTTGATGGTTCAGTCAGGGGTTACTTGAGAGGTTACTTAGTGAGGGATTATTAGATCAGGAGTAACTCAAATAACGTCTGACCGAGTAATTCAAGTAATTCCCAATCGAGTAATTGAATAACCCCGACAATTCGAGTAACCCTAGATCGAGAAAATCGAGTAACATCGACAACTCGAATAACCAAGTAAATCGAGTAACCCTTGTCTCACGTTACAGCAAGACGCATACAAAAGTTGTGTTTGCCTAATTGTATACCACCGCATGTCCGCATTATTAATTAAGTTTATTATTGGTATCACTTTAAAGGGTCCAATGTGATTTCTTTGAAAGAAAGCGATTGGACGGGTGTTCAACGGGCTGGGCCTAAACACGATTAACTATTAAGGGTCATTTCAATTAAATACCCCTTATCTTCATCTACATTGAAATTTCAATTGACAAGTCTAATCTTATTTTTTTATGAAATTTCCTTAACTTTAATAATTGTTTGAAGTTGTTAGATTTTGAAAAATACGGAGTACTATGCTTTAATTGTTTTCAAGAGTCAACATAATTTTCACTGATATAGTTCTTTGATTAGCTTAGAAAGCTCTAGTTGACAAATTTAGTGAGACAAGTGCATTCAATGTTTTTTGACATTTTCTTGTTGGATGGAGCCATGAACGTTGTATCAATATGAGAAAATTTGAACTAGAGCTTTCTAAATTGCTTATGTAAATTTCGTGATTACATAAATTATTAAAGTTGTTAATTTTGTATCATGTTAAATTCTACGGCACCTCATTTCTAGAAAATATTGATTTAGAAGCCCACGAGTTGTGTTTAGTTGACAAATCTTGGCCTCCTTTACTTTAGTATTTGACTTGGTCATGCCATGTCTTGCTACTCCGTTTAACTTTAGCTTAAATATGAACCAACGTGAGTTGGCTAGGCCTGACCCATGAGTTATATGCGTCTCATGTCATGCTGAAGTTCCAAAAGGTGTTATACGGTTATGCTTACACTGTGTTGTACCATACTTTTTGTGATGGTTCGTGTTGTGCTTTGAGTGAACTCGTTAGATTGCCATCTTTACCCTTGTGTTCATGTTGGTTCATGCCAAAAATAGGTAATTCACCCTATAGACGCAAGCAATTCCATTTTGTAGACACACAATAGTAACATTCATTTTCAATTCATTTGTACCCTTCCACAACTCTACAAGTATTGTTAAACAGTACAAGTAACATAATTTATTTTGAAAAATCACGAAGTACAAAATACCACCTCCGGTTCATATTATATGCAACTTTGGTGTATTACTTGTTATATAAAATAATCCAAAGTTGCATATTATACGAACCGGAGGTAGAGATTACAAATTTATTATTTTTAGACTAATGTTTCTCCTCATTACACTAATCTACATTTATATCTTCCTCTATATCTCTCCTCTCCGTCATTATGCATTTATGCAATATGAATAAGAAGTGTCTTTCCAAATTACTCATATTATTTGTAGTGTTTGTACTCCATTGTTCTATCTTTAACAAAAAAAATGAACTTTTCCTAGGCTCCTATACTCCTAGCTAAAAAGAGTAGGATGTTTTGTAAGAAGAATCAATGATGCCTAGTACAGATTCTCAAAACATCATTAGTCTTGTCTTGTTAAAGTGTATATCAATATCAATTCAGTAAAAAGTGCATTAAAACAATACAAAGAGAATCACGGAATTGTTGAAGAACTTGCCAATTTTATATTTTTTCTCTGTTTTAACACTGTTTAATGAGCAGAAAGCAGATATGCTTAAGTTTGGTTCAATGATCTTTATAGGAAAAAGAGTAAAAAGAATGTGACTATCACATATATTGGTCCTAAATTTTTGTCATTTTTTTATATTCTGAATTTAGGGGTTTGGCATGGCCCTAACTATATAGGTCTGGTGCTACTATTGCTACAATACTACTCCAGAGTACTCAAGTTTGGATATCTCTATAGTCTTAGATTAGGACATTTTGCTTTTGTAATCTTTTGGAAAAGTACTCATATAATATAATGTTGATTATTTTTGTTAAATGAAAAAGATTAATGTGAAAAATAAATCAAAACATGCACTGATTTACGTGGTTTATTAATAAAGTGTTAGCTACATCTACTTATACTTCGTATAATGAGACAAAGTTTTGTTGATATTGGGGATTATACATACTCTGTATTACTTAATGAGATAGGTTAATAAAGAGTTTGTAGAATTTTTATAAATTTCAGCTTGCCTTCTCATATTAATTCATCATTCGAATATATAACACAAGAGCCCCCAAAAAAGATAAAACTCTAACTCTAGAAGACCTCTAACTTTTGATAAATCTAGAATTAGAAAACACTATAATAATTTTTTTACTACCAAAAAGATATCCCTAGAATCTAAAAATCCTGAAGCAAATACAAAATAACCTCCATAGTAGGTTCAAAATAAATAAATAAAAAATTATATCTCTCATAGTGAGACTCCGATAATGGGTTGTTATTAAGGGGTAAATAGACTTATGACATATTCTAACAAATTGGGTATCGCATGTTTAATTAAGAGCACTCTTAAGTAGTCTTAACTATGTTAATAGATATGTGATCATATAGATTAGTGGTGATGAAAAACATTCCTCATGAGATCACATCTATGGTGAAGTAAGTGGTGAACCATTCCTCGTGAAGAAATAAATTTCCTCGTTGAGTGAACAAGAAAAGGTAGTAGGGCCTGTTAAGTTAAGATTAATTTCAGTTCAGTTCAGTTCATAACTAATTTCCTTCTCTCATAAACAAATCATTTCAACGTATTCAGTTTAGTTCAATTCAATTAAGTTATGTTGTTTTCAGTAAATCGAAACAGGCCCTTAGTGTGCAGGTGGGACTACTTAAAAAAAAAGGTAGCAAGGGACATATAGTTTTTTGGCTTCATGAAAATTGAAACGAGTGTTTGAGTTCGTGAAGCCAATAAATGAAAAAAATCACTAGGTGTTGGAAAAATACTTGATTATTGATAATCACAAAATATAGTTTTGTCGTGGTCTGGAGTCCACTGTCTTAGAAGCAAAATAATCCACTACCGGTAGAGGTATCTTGGTGACAAATGCCCCCCCAAGGTTTACACAACTTCCTCCATAATTTTGTGTACCTGAACTCACATCATGGAATTGCTACAAGAATGGTTCAAACCTCTAAGGCTGGGTTTGTATTTTTGTGTTTATGGTTCATGAATAAATGAATTGCTAAATGATAATAAGAAGATTCGTATTTATAAATATTGAAAAAAGAAGCTCAAAATAGCTACCCTGAAAGGTTAGCTTGGGGTTCATTATCTTTGATTTGCATTACTAGAATTATTACTCCAACAATAGGGTGGGTAAACAAGTATTATCAGGGTGTCATGTTTCCTTCTTGAAACAACTCCATCTAATGTGAAATAGGATCCATATTCTACAACTTCTCTAGCCGATTAGCCCAAACAGTTGAAACAACTAATTAGAAGGAAAAAAAAGGATAATGTTGTAGTAGTATAACTACAACTTATCATTCATATTAAAGGATGTTCCATTTACTATGAAAATGGAGAGGGAATTGACTAATACTTCTTTCTCATATTGTTTTGGCTAATTGGCTTAATATATACTTGTACAAAGTACGTTTTATTTCCCCACATAAATGAATAGATATGTTTTATTTCCCTACATA